ATATATATATATATATATATATATTAATTGTTAACAAAATAAAAAATAAAAATAATAATATATAAATTAATTAATTTAATTAAGATTTATTCAAACTTTAAATATGTAAATCCAATATTCAAACCGATTAACATCAAATTTAATTTATTTGATTCAAGTTAAAAAAAAAAAATTCAAACCAATTTAATTAGTTCAATTTGAATTATCAAATTGACCACATGAACCCAACCATTAAAACATATTTTTTCTTGTAACAAAATTTCAAGAATAGGGTCATACCATATTGCATTTTCAGGCAGTTACCCAATAATTTGACAGTCAAAAACCATGTGGATTTTTCATTCCAGAATCATAATTCACAAAAGATGCTTCATCAAGCTGCAAATTACGCTATCAACAGCTTAAACTTGCATAATTCGAGTTTTTGTATATATCTTTTAACTCGTGACACTCCAGATATAGGGCGAATAAATTACCAAGTATTGCAATAAAAATCACACCAACTTAAAATGCAAAATACTAGCCAAATCCAACGGTATTCAAATCAAAGTAGCTGATGGTACAAAACAAACTATACCACAAGCACGTCTGCGTAGTAGTTATCCAATTGTATAGCGAAATCTCACAATATATACATCCCACAAGCCACAACATACATTAGTACTATGCAAATGTTATTTATATATGTGTTGGGGTAGTAAGGGTGTCACAGTTGATGTCGTTGCCACCAACATCATCGTTGTCATCATTTTTGTTGTCATTATCGTTGTCAGTGGCATCATTTAAGAGATGTTAATATCCTTTGTGGTGGTACAAGGAAGGTTAGACTTTGGTGGTTGGACTAGAATTGGGGTTTCAAACAATAACAAAAAAAGGTGAAATTGATTTAGAAGAGGATGAAGACCACTAAGAATAGACAAAAGTCCTATGTTGATAGGAGAAGCAAACCCTTATGGTTTGATGAGGGTGACCACATATTCTTGAAGGTGACACCCATTATTGGAGTGAGAAGAGCGATAAAGTCTAAAAAAAATTGACCCCTAAGTTTTTAAAACCTTATCAAATCCTTCGTCGTGTGGGCCTTATCAACAAGTGTGACTCACTAAACAAATCCCCTATTTTTATGACAACTCTAAGATGAAAGATGTGTTATATTGTTTTGTTGATAAAGTTGGATGTTTTACCTATGATGTTGACGTATGATTAAACTAAGTTGTAGGTTGTATATATTTACTAAGTTATATGTTTTGTAGATTGGAAGTTGATGAGAGTATGTTGTATAATTGTAAGTTGTATGTTTGAAAATAAAGTTGTATATTGAAGTTGTGAAGCATTAATTTCAATTGCATGTTATCAAAATTTTTGAAGTTGCTATCAAAAGTTGGGAAGTTGTCAACTAGAAGAGAATAAATTTGATTTCACATTGTAAAGATCTTATTGTGTGTATCTAAAGTTGTAGTGTTCTAAGGAGTCCAATGATGAAAATCTTTCAATGAGATACATTGTCCCTTGAAGGGAAGTTATTTTTCTAAAGTTTTCTTCTCTATGTTTTTAAGTTAAAAATAGTATCGTGCCAAGCCAAGTAATACTTGATATAAACAGCCAAAGAGTAAGACAAAAAATTAAGGGTTGAAATCCTTAACCAAGTGTTGGATGGGTATGTGGTATTAGATGGTAGGCAATAAGCTGATTTTATTTATGGCTTGGTTGATGCATATCAATGCCTTGATCACACTCAAGCTATACTACTCTTGACGATGATATTGAAAATTACTAATTTAAGTGTAATATCTGAGAAATCAAATGTTAAAGTTGTTTCGTTGTCTAAGTGACATGTCCTTGTTTCATGGTCCATAGTGGCTTGTCATTGTATAAGTTCAATAAAATTAAATCACTTATACTATTCATACATTGTGAGATATCTCTAAAGTAAAAATGCGATGTAACACATTATGTTGTTAAGTTGTCTAAGTTGAAAATTGTTTAAGTCGCATATGTTGTTAAGTAACATAGTTGACAATAAACCTTAATTGTTGTATATTTAATGTGACCAATTACTTCAAAGCCCAATACAAATATATATATATATATATATATATATATATATATATAAAAAATACATATATTTTTCTAA